TGCAAAGAATTCTCCAGGGAGGGTGAGTTGTAAAGGGCAGTGCGCGTGGGCCAAGTGACTCCATGCCCTGCCTCCCCTCTCCCAGCAGAGGTGTTTGACATTCCAAAAAAAATACCCTGAAACACATTATCTCCTAGTAGGAGCAATGAATCTCTCTCAAGTAGGACTATAACTCAACAGCCACGCTTCATCTACCAGAGTTCAGTAAGGCTGGGCCACACACTGCTTCTGAGCATCACCACACTGACCCGGCTAATAGTCTCTGCGTGTCTCTGTATGACGAGTGGAGAGCAGAGACAGCACTGAGCAGATGCTGGGCTCTGCCACACTTTGTATGGGTTAAATGCACCCCAAAAGAGAGAGAGAGAGGACGCCAATACTTATGCACAGTTGCAGTGAAACATCTGAGCAATTCATTGGAACAACCAAGATCCAAGGATAACAGATTTCAGGATAATTTCCCTCTGTAGCTAATGCAAAAAAAAAAAAGCAGAAATATTTTCAAACTACCTTACCTCACATTTCCGCATACACTCCCAACAAATTAATGACTGTTGCTCCTCCAGAAGTCATCTCTTAGCAACGAAAAGGCTCATCATCTTGGAGGACTCCCTCGAACATCCGATGCCAGGAGTTCATATGGGACGTCAGAGGAAGGCAAGATGGAAGAGCAGCTGCTGACCCTGGGCAGGCACCATTCAGCTCCAGGAAACTCCCTCTCAATTATCACATTGTGCACAAGTGAATGGGGCATCTTCCGCCTGGGTGCCCGGGAGGGGACAGAGGAACAGGCCTCATCCTTTCCCACAGGAAGATCCACCGTGTGCACCAGGAGCCAATGCCTCATTTCAAGCCTCGGTTGCAGAATCTGCTCCTTAAAAATTCCTGCAGGCCCACAACAAACAACAGCTGCAGTTCAGGAGGTAGAAAAATGCTAGAGGATGAGTTGCAATTCAGTCAGAGTCCAAATTCCACAGCTCCTTTCCACAGATTCCCACTTATTTTTTTGTTTCAAATGGCTTGAGATTGTAGTGCTCCTTGTCTGTATCCATATCATAAATAGTGTGGATAAAACATGGGGTAGAAATGGAAACCCCCAATCTGATGGATCTGGAACTGAGCAAATGAGCAACCACAGCTAATACTGCAGAAGGAATCAAAATAACACAATTTCAGCAAGTTATGAGCAAATGTGGGGGAAAAAAAAATAATACAATACTTCCACTGTTGGGAAACATGAGGCAAATAATCCAAACACACCCAAATGTTTCATTTTTAAAAAGTCAAAATACTTCATTACAATATCATCCAAATAAAGCTTGCAGCTTTTTCTCTCCAAAACTTTTTTGGTATGTAATTCAGTTTTAAAAGTAGGAATGCAAATTATTTTTTTTTTAAGGATTAGGTCCCATACAAAGTAGCTACAGCATCCTTTGGGTGATTCACAAATGATTCAGAAATTACAGCCCTGGGATCCTCTTTGAAAAACGAGGATTACTGGGGAGAGATGGGATCCAACTCATGAAATGGGGCAAGGAGAACCCAATATCCTACTGAGGAGGGCATTCAATAATATCCACAGGGGCTGGAATACCAAAGCCCACAGAAGAGCAGGCAGACTGGCAGGGAGGAAGCAGGCATGCACAGGGCAAGGGGGAGACCCTGAAAAGCAACTGTTACAACATGAGCTTCTAAATTATATTAAAATCAATTAAAATAACAGATAACATTTTACTACATTGCTTTCTAGGGCAATAAATGCAGCTGTCATGAGGAAAGCAAATGAGCATGATGGGAGGGGAGGCAAACAGTGAAGCAATGTAAAACAGCAGTTTTTCCCAGCAGCAGCAAAGATCTGCAGAGCTGAGTGTCAGGTTCTGACCACAGTCTGAGGAAAATTCTGCTTTTTGCTCTAGAGTTTCCTACAAGAGAAGAGATCACCACTAATCCCATAAAATATGTCTTGTCTCTGCTCAGAAAACTGAAAAGAAGCAGTCAAGGCTGAGAGTGCAAGCACATGCAAACAGGACCTGGGTGAGCACCAGCAAAGGTCCAGGACAGGTTTCTCCTGAGACATTCCCTAGCAGAGAGGAACTGACCTGGATCCAAGTGAGCAGCATGTTTGCCCCAGTGTGGGAAACCTTCCTGGTGCTAATCAACTTTCCAGCTAGGGTAAGATCCTCATTCTGATATACTTTTAATTTTTTCCCTATAGCTTTAGCATTGCTGTATCATACATAACTGCACTTCCATGCCTGGGTAGCAGCAGTAATACACCAGCAAGATTTCTTGCATCTATCTCAGGAGGAAAGGTTTTATTAAATCATTACATAAAACCATCATGTAGTCTGTCTTTACAAAATAATTTTAAAAGGGACAGCTGTAGAACTGAAACAACGGTGGGAAGGAATGGGAAAGTAGTTGTTGTGAACGCTGTACCAAAGTAACCAGAGTAGATGCTGCCTATCAAGGAAAAAATAGAGTACATGAATTCAAGAAAAAAAAGAGAGAAAAAGCAAAGCAAAAAAAAAAAAATCCATTTGAATTAAGCCTTTTGTCACCTCTAACAAGCTCTAGAAACAGCACTAATCAATCCAAATGACACTTTAGTGTGGAGATCTATTATATTCCTCAATGATCATATGGCTTTATATGTTATAATTTGGTTCTGAATTATGCCCTACATCAATTATAATTGAACGCTGCTTCCCACTCTACAATCAGACTGTGATGAGAACAGAAAGGCAGTGGACATTAGAGGATTACTATCAGAATGACCTAATTTAATTAAGGAGGAGATTTATTAAAATGGTAACATTAACAGGTGTTTTATGAGACTAATAATTAATAAGGTTTCTGTAGAACATTTGTAAGAGAAGTAGACAATATGCAATGGCAGCAGAACTCCCTGTAATGGGATAACAATAAAGCATTAAGAACTGCAGATAAGATATTGTGATAATAATCTGATACTGTAAGTTATGGTTTGAAGAGGATTAAATGTCATTACTGCAAATTAGTATTTATTTAAGCTCCAGCAGGCCTTTGCACACCGTCTGGAGGAAAGGTGGACTGTGGACAGGCTCTCCAGCACAGGCACTTGCTGTCCTGAATCCCACAGCAGCAGGTTGGGACCCGCCAACAGAGCACTAATGCTGACAGGGTCCACCTAGAAAACCACAACGGGGCTGCAAGGAAGGGATTTCTTGATTCAAAAGTCCAGCAAATCCCTTCTGACCTTTTTGAAGTTACCTTCAAGCAGCTGAAAGCAGGCAGCCCTATCTGCTTCCCAAGCTGCAGGCTCAGATGGGATCCCATGGACCCCATGGTGTGTCCTGGGGCTCCATCCCTCTCCCAGCACACAGCAAGGTGTGGGAATGGCAGTGCCGCTTTCTCCCTCCCCATTGCAAAACCTGCAGGCACAGCAAGAGGTGAATCTCAGGAGCATGAGGAGAGAAAGTGAAAAGAGACAAGAAAGAGGGAGGAGTGTGCTTTCACAGCAGGGAGCAATACCCAAGCCCACTAAAGGGAAGACTAGAGAGAAAACAGCCTAAGGATCTTTTCTAAAAATTAAGGTGTTGGGGGGTTTCGTTGGGGTTACTTAGCACTTTAATCTTGTGTTAAAACCTGGCCCTTTCTTAGCTCTAGGCTTAAAAGTTTTATTCCAGCCCTGGTCCCAGTGGCCCCCCAGGTAAGAGGGGGGAAATGGCTGTGGAGAACACAGCTCTTTCTCTAAAGCAGCTCCAATCCCTGACACAGTGATGGAAGAGGATATTAGCAGTGGGAAATTTTTTCAAGGCCAGCACTTTAATGAGCTCCTAAATAATGACTTTATCTTAGAGGCACACTCGATATTCATTCAGCATCACACCCAAACAAAACCACTGCCTGACTTCAGTCAACAGAAAACAAGACCAGAGGAAACAGCCCCCTACTTTGGGAAGCAATGACGGGACAGACCACCCCTCACTGGGCCAGGGTGAGAGACTTGCCTGGTGTGACAGAAGGTGGAGCGAGCTGTGCTCCCCTCCAGGTGCTGCTCCAGGCTGAGCCTGTGGCACTGTTCACTCCCACTTACCCTGCCTCAAAGCAAACATACCTGTGTTTCTCCACAGCTCAAGTGGATATTCGTGCCACTCAGTTGAGGTCTGAGCCACCTTTTTTCCACTCTTTTAATTAGAATCTGATATCAACAACAAGCACAGAGTTTGCAGAGCAATGAAACAACCACTTAATGTCAAAGAGGGTGTCACTTAATCTCTTGGGTGCAGAGGTGCTGGGTTTGGAGCAGACCTCAGCTTCTTCTATGATTCTTTGTTCAGGGGTGGGTTCAATTTGCTTTTTAATCTGGCTAAGCCAAGGGAGAAGGCCTTTGGCTTTGCTCCTAGCACCCAGTCCCACAAAAGCTTAGCCACAGTCCTCTTTCACAAATTGCCACCAGTTTTAGGTTGCTTCAAGCATTCCATTACTCAGTTTTGCTTCTGTGAATCATTCTGGTTAGCCCATCTCAACTGGGATAGTTTTGATCATACTTTCCCTGGTTTTTCAATTCCAAGTTTTGGGCCACAAACATCTTGGAGATTATGCCTATCCCAACACGAAATATTGTCTCTGCCAGACCTTGGGGATCTCCTACAGGAGACTATTTCCATTAAAATATCCCCAGTCCAGAAACAGCCTCTGGGCATGTCTTTTGTATGGCTCTGTGATGCTTATGAGAGCAGATTGGGAACTAACTTGTCTTGACACAGAAACCATCCAGCAACCTCTGGAGTTCCTATATATCTATTTTCAAGTGTCATTTAATTTTGAGCATTCTCCTTTATTTGTGAGTGCCAGCAGGAAGCAGAAACCCAAGCTGGAGTGCTGTGAATACCTTGCTTCCCCAACTATGGTGGAGACTGAGAAACACCTCTCATTAGCACAGTGCTCCAGACCTTGGAGGTTCACAGCATGTAGCAAAATCTCCATCCTATTTTCCATGGGCAAGCAAGGACTCCCTGGCATTTTCTGAGACTCACATGCCCTGCTCACACTTCACTGACTGGCTCTGTGAATGTAAACCTCATGAGGTCCTGTCTAACTTCCAGCTGAAAGAGGCACACATTTTGTGACTATTAATTAGCCAAATGTCTTCAATTTCACAGGAATGCGCTTTTCATTTGTTTTGTATCATGGATTACAAGAAGAATAGTCTGGGGTTTGCATTAGAACAAACATCAGTTCTGTGCTGTACACAAATAAGCTGTTCCCACCTACAACCCAAATATTCATACTTGCTTTTAAAGGCTTGCACCCAGCAGTGCCAACAGCAGGTATGGTGCAGGGCTGGGAGGAATACAGATGATATATTTCAAAGGGAAGAAGGTGCACAGTCTATTCCCTGCAAGGGAGTTCCTCTGGGCCAGTTTGAGGAAAATTGTTGCAAAAGCAAAGCCCTCCCTCTTCCCTGGTACTGCTATTCAAATTACTTCTATGGGATGCCACTGTCAGTCACTGAGTTTTAATATTACCACAGCAGCATTACAGGAGAATGAGTGCTGAATCAATAAAAAAATTAAGGAAATACAGTTTTTATTACAGAGTGATATTTGGAATTGATCCCTCAGGCTTTCCAGTCGCCTCAGCTTTGTTTTATATGCCCATGGATGGAGCATTGTGCAAAGTCGTTTGAATGCAGGAACCAATCAGTCGTAATCTAATTTTAAATGGACCACAAGCAAACTGAGAAAATAAAGACAGGCAGGGGCATCGTGTTGACAGATGTGCCTATGGTATATTGTATGTCTGCTCTGCCTAACTAGGAGAAATACTCCCTTAAATTGCTTTATCTATGTATAATGCCAGTAACAAGAACAATAGGGGGGAAACTTGGTTTCTGCAGGGACACGAAGAATAAATTTATAGGAAAAAAATGTGAAAAGAAAAAATAATGTCATATCTTTTTGGCCTCACTTGTAAAATGCTAAAGTAACAGCCAATAAGCACATGAAAAGCATAGAATAAGTAGCATGGATGTTTTACTTGCTCAAGTAACAAGGATTTCTCTCTGAGGCCAAAATCCAATTGTTCCTTCCACTCCTCAAGTGAAGGTGCCACAGTTTGCCTCAAGGAATTGTGGGCGAACAAAGACATTGTGATAATCAGCAGGTAGTTTCACACAGCACTGTGTGCAGCTTTCTGCAACTTCACCTCACACTGCAGTACTAATTAATTTCAATTGCTTTCACCTGCTATTTGCAATTATGATTTCCTCTCTCATTTCTACCACCACGAGCTCTTACAGTTGACCAATCCCCCCCCGTTTAAACCAGTTTACACAGCTCCAGGAAGCAGCTCCTTAAATCACGGGTGTTGCAACACAGCAGCACTGAACTGTCCCCTGTGCTCCCCACACCCAAAATCTGACCCCATTAAGTAGCAATGTCCTTAATCTCAGCTTAATATGTTTGGGTACTTGAAGCTTCAGCCTCTGCTCATTCCTCTAGGAGGGCTGATGGTCTGAGATGTCCATCTTCCACCTGCCAACCCATGAGGGTGATTTGCCCACACAGCAGAAATTAGCTCAAGCACCTTTGTGTTCCTGTAGAGCTGGCCCTTCCCAAGTCAGCAGCTTTCACTGCTCCTTTACTGACTTTGCACCACCCATGGCTGTAATTCCTGCTCTGTCCTGACTCCAGCTGCTGTATTTGTTTCCTAAACATGAAGAAAACAGAATTAGAGACTTTTCTATAAATTTAAGACCCAGTTAGTATGGGATGCTACCATGGTGCATCAAGAGCTGTCACTCTGAGACCCCTCCAGACCTACTGAAATACATCAACTGTGATATGTGGAAGAAGTTACATTACCACAGGGGCTCAACTTCAGGAAATACTTTAGAAACTGATATTTTTCTAACAGAAAAAAAATACACCAGTTGCATTGAGGTGGTTCAGCAGTCAATCTCCCTGGATGAAAAAATAGATAAAGAGAACGAATCACCAACCTAAATATTCATGATGGATTCACTACTAGTAATCATGACCACATTTCATCCTTCTCTGCAGATACAAGCTTGACCATTAATGCTGACTGCTGGTACTGTGGAAAACCATCAAGCCAAAACAGAAACTGAAAATGCTTTTGAGGAAAATAAAATGTCAGTGAATAATAATCAGGAGATAAGGAAAACAAACAAACAAAAAAACCAAACAAAATCCCCTTCAACCACGAAAGAATGTTTCTTTAGTTAAAAAGGAAAAATATCCAATTAAAATGAGAGCTGTTAAAATAATTTTTAAAATTCAATCACAAATAGAAGATTCATAGCTATGATAACAAGGAACAGATATTACCAGCAAGGAAGAATAGACAATATGAAAAAGGAACTTAAAATTATCAATGTAAATTCTAAGACTTGTAGAATAATAAAAATATGGAAATTTAATATAATAACATGGTATTAAACCCTAGGTTGCAAATTCCACGAGGATGGAAAAATTGTCAGACATCTTGCAGGAAATTCAGAAATAAACAGCAAACATTTCTGTTCTGTATTTAAAATGATGGAAAATTTGTTAATCTTTTACAGTGGCATGCCAACACTTTTTATTCCAACAGTAACAGATTTTAAACTGCCATTAAATGTAAACATTTAAAAGTATGATTGGATAATTTGTTCTCCAGCCTATCAAAACCATTGACAAAGATCTCTCTGAAACAGCTACATTCTTTTCAAATCATCTTTACTTAATGAGAAAGCCTCAAAGGAACTTCAAGAAATTCAGGACCACACCAGTACTGCTGAGGTTTCCCTGGGTGACCACAGCACTTACCTCCCCACACCCAGAGGCTGGGTTCTCATCTCTACCCCTCCCCAGACCAATGGGGAAAAGCACTGCTATGCTATTTCTTGGCTTTGAAAACTCTTTGCTGTCAATTTGTTTGGTTTCCCTGTTCTCCAGCCCACCTTGGAGGACGCTATTTGTTAAACAGACCGTACTTGAGAGTTTGTGACTATATTTTGATTTGAATTGTTTATCACATTTAAACCCCACCGCACTTGGGCTGGCCAGGAACGTAAATACAATTAGTTGCAGCAACAAACACCAAGCAAAGTGCACCGACTCACTGCAAAACGCTCCTCAAGCCCCAGCCAAACTGCTTTTACTTTGCTTTCCTGCCCACTGTTTGTGAGGCAGATGCTCTTAGGAGAAAAACCTGTACCACCTTCACCCAGAGTCCGAGTTTGACTTTACTACACATTTGCCCTCTTGCTTAAGTTATGCCAGCCCATCTGCAGGCGAATCTAATCCTCTTGTTAGCTAGCAACTGGTAGCTCAGCTCTGCTCCGCTGTGCTTCGCATTATACAGATCAGCCAAGTATTGATGCAACATCACTGAGGAGAATCTAGATTCTGGGGTTTTTTTCCCTGTGCTTTCTTCTTTGGAAACTTAAAATACATGCTGGAAATAATTTCAAGGGCTGCTGAGCATTGCCACTGGGGGAATGCAAGGGGCTTTCAACACTAAGACTAAAAGATAGTTGGAAATTTGCAAGCGGTTGCCTTTGAAATTAGATTTTCAGGCTAAATTCAAAGAAGTTGGTGTAGCTTGTCCCACTCCCTGGAAACACATGCAGGGCTTCTGACAGAGGGTAACAAAAGCTCTTTTCTCTTGCTGGGTTCAGCCCACTGTGTCTCATCCCAGAGCCCTGGCCCAATTGAAGGCACCCAACCAAACATCTGTGTGGGGGACTGGCATCAGCATCAGCCAGGGGAGGCCAAACCAGCACTGCAAACTCACAGCAGTGATAGCAGAGCCACTCCAAGAGGAAGGTGCAGCTCAGCCCACGTTGCTCATTCAGTCCAGATTTTTTCAAAGCCAACTCACCAGCAGAGCCAGGATGGGGAGAGCTCACCCACAGCATCTCTGGCCCACCAGGTCCTGGATCACTAGAGACAACCATGAGCCCCAGCTGCTGGTGCATGTCTTGTGTTTTATTTGCCACCTCAGTTTCAGAAGCTCCAACAGGAGCCAGACCTGCCTTGTTACACCCTTTCAATGATAAATCCTTTCACAAATCATTGGCACTCAAACTAGGCAAAGTAGATCAAAAATATTATAAATTTAATGGTACAGTGGGAAAAAAAACCAAGAAACTTGCTGAAGTGCACAGAAGTCTTCTGTGGCAGAAACAGAAATTAAAGCCAGGCATCCTCAGCCCCAACTTCAAGCTCAGACACTCCCTATAATCCATTTATCTGAATTCCCCCATGCTCCTCAGCCATTTGAAACTTCACAGTACCCAACTCCTATTAAATAAAGCACTATTGTATCAGGAAATGAGTTGGTCAGAACAGTCTTTGCAGAGCAGGTTTTGTTTCACTCTCGGTACTAGTTTCTATTCATATAATACAGTTTTACATGACAAATTTCCACATTTTACCTTCCTGTGACCTAAACACAGCTCAGCAACCTTTGCTTCCATGCCATCTCCACTTCCATACAAGTGAAGGAGACATGCCAAGCCATCCTCATGGAGAGGTCACTTAATTTTGCTTTGTATAGCCAAATCTCCTGCTATCTCCATAATTACCAATCAATACATAAATAGCAAAATTAAGCCCCATTATTGTCATTTACTACAAAATTAAATGAATTAATTAAACATGGAAAAGTGCTGATATCTGCCAAATCGTTACTTCCAACAGATAAAAACAAATTCAGGAATGATATGCAGACAGGAGAGAAAAATTAGCTTTCCATCCTGCAATGCAGTGAACTATTGCAAGGAAAACTGTAAATAACAATCAGTGGGCCAGGCTTCTCCATCCGAACAGTGGAACAATACAGACACATTCTTTGTTGTGGAGGAAAAAACCACTCTGAAACAATCCCCTTGTTTTTGTTTTTGCAGAACAGAAAAGGCCCTGGGGACTGGTAACAACTGGCTTCAACAAGAATGGGTCTTTCAAACTCTGATTTGCTGAAGGACTGCTGCTCTGTAATTATCATGAATGGTTTTAGCTAAACATCTCAAAGGAACAAAAGAGGGTGCAAACACTTGGAGACAAGTTGTGACCATGAATTTTTGCAGGTGGCTGAATAATAGTGGGGAGAGAGACTTCCCAGGAGGTAGAGTTGGAGAAATAGGGAAAAACTGAACTAGAGCACTGAAAAGCTTTGAAACTCCAGCGTCTTCTCCTGTCCTAATGGTGGTTCTGAAGTTACAGTCATAAGACAAATGCATCACTGCAAGCAGTGTTTGAAAGACACTTGCAATTACAGCTGCTCTGGAACAATGAAATATATACTGTTCCTTAAATAAACTGAAAAAATGATAACCTCTTTTAACTGTCGTGGTGTAGTAGAGACATCTTCATATCTTCCTTAATGAGATTTTTATTGCCAGTGTAAATTTGTCTTGAACTGAATTTTTGTCTTGGGAACTCTGAATTATGTTATACCAAGTTGTTCCTGGTAAGCATGCAGGCTTGCACACATTTTTTGCTGTGAAAATGGCTCCTTCTGGCAAACTGAAAGCAATTGAAGCTCGATTTAATTAGCTGCCTTCTGTAAATATGCCATTATTCTTCTAACTCAATGCTGGAGTTATATTTACAAAGGGAACAGATAGCAATAATTATTTCCGACCGTAGTTAGTCTGTATTAGTTAATGCCTGCGTGTAATTGAGAGGAAATTAAGACAAGTGTAGTCTTTGGGGAGGGGGAGGGAAGAATATACCAGTTTACAGCAGTAGAGACACTGCACCTGTATGTTCCTTCTTGGGCTGGAATGCACAGAAAGTTTTAACTAAAAGAAGCAATCATCTACTCTGTCCTCTGGAACCAGAGAGGGTTAACGATAATCACCTGACATTTTCAGTCATACAGAATTTGGTGGAGGTTTAAAATATTTCTTACCAGCCTTCTTATCAAACTTCTCTGAGTTTCTATCTGCTTTTCATGTTAGAGCCCCATGAACTGACAGCACTTGGTGCATTAGTCCTCACTAAGGAAAGGATCAGAGAGCCAAGCAGCTCAGAAAGCTGCAGAGATCCACAGCTGGAGGAGCATGAGCTGGTCGGAAAGGTTTTGCAGATGGTGTCTGAGAGCCCTTGCACGGCTCAGGACAGCGGGAAGCTGTTCCAAAAACATTTTCCTGCATCTCTGAAATGAGCTAATACTTTCAAGTGCCCACCTTAAGAGGATTCCTCAAATTAAGCAATTGCCCCATAGCCCTTTTCTTCGGTCCGGATATGTTATTCAAATATACTCTCAGAACTTATTAGTTGAATTGCATCACTATGTAGATGTTTCTATTTAAAATTAAAGAGGCCTTAATTCAATTTACCTTAATCCACTTTCAAAGTAAATTATAGCAAATGAAGAGTTTGCTAATTCTGAATGATTGTTCACACTTAGGTTAAACGCAGTTTAACAAACTCTCTTGAAATGTATGTATCTACTTAATTTTCATTTCTTACCCTTTATGTCACCACAACACATGTTCCCCCTTCTTTAGGCTTGCAAGTGTCAAACTGTGAGTGTAATACTAAAAATTAATTATTCAGATATTGCATTCCTTTACATAGCAAAAATTCTTGAATAAATGTATGGGAATGTTTCTTTGCACATGGGTTAACAAATTGGGCCCACTGTTCCCTTGCTGGAAGTAGTTGTTGATGCAAGTTGTAGGGTAAGGATGGTTT